AGACCCAAGAGACAGTTGGATGCAGAAAAAAAAATATTACCGTAATTACTGATAAAACTAATTAGAGAACATGGCTTTAGATCTTCAGCAAAATGAACTTTTAAGACTCCACTGACTTCATTCACCATATTAGTTGGGAATGTAGGTCTCTGGAAGAACAGGAACATTTACCAACTTGTGACCTTGTGAAACTCATGAATCTTCTTTGAGCCTTAGTTTCCTTATCAATAAAATGGGAATTATATCTATTCAAAATTTTGTGAAAAGAATGATATAGATTTATATAGTGCTTGGAATAGTGGCTGGCAGGCAGTTAAGTGCTATGTATGTGCTTGTACTTATTATTATTGCACAGTGGAGGATAGCTCAGAATGCGCCGTCTCTGCCAGTAGGATCCAAAAGGTACTGGGTCAAGCATGCTCAGCTCCTATTCCCAAGGTCACTAATTAGGTAAGTCACTGTCCTCACCAGTGAGAGGTGAGAGGAGAATGAATGGCTAGAAGTGTTACTTTCATATTCTCAGTCCTGGGCTGTAGAGTTGAAATCTTCCCTCTATCAAAACATGAAGAGTGGAGTATAAATATTTCCTCTAAAAACAAGCTCATTCTTTGTACAGATTTTTTCTACTCTTTCTGCCCACACTCAAGCAAGCCTAGTAAGATGATGTATTCCTTTCTTTTCCTTATGTATTAGTCTGCAGTGCAAAACTCAAATCCATGTCCCAGTGTCAGTGCTGAAGTGTATGAACATGCGAATAACACTTGTCTATAATCACAGATCCTGCTTCTAGTCATTATGTGACAAATATTTAAAAATTTTCTCATTTCTATTTAACAAGGGCATCATAGGCTTCTACCTGAACTGTACATGTGTCTATTGATGTCTTTTTAAACACTGAAATAAACTAAAATCAATCAATCACCTATTAAAAAATCATGACTTAAATTTTGGAAACAAAAAAATCCACAAAGACTATATAAAGTGGCATTTCCAGAAAAGGTCTGAATTTTCAACTTACTGAGGTCTGTTGTTGTTTTGGACCACTAAATTCTTTCTTCAAATGAAATCCCTTGAAATCCAACATGTATAAGAAACCTGGACTGACAATCTCCGCACCGCCCCCATTCCCTCCGCCTCATCTTGATTGGCTCCTGATAGCTCTGATGGGTCAGTCGAGCTCTGCTCTGGTGACTATTCGTTATTTAAAACTGAAATTTTATATTGTGAGTTCCATGAGCTTGACAGTTTCTTTCTTTCTCTCTCTCTCTCTCTCTCTCTCTCTCTCTCTCTCTCTTTCTTTCTTTCTTTCTTTCTTTCTTTCTTTCTTTCTTTCTTTCTTTCTTTCTTTCTTTCACACTTTGTTTCCAGTATCCAGCATCTGACACAAAGTTTGTGCCTGGTGAATATTTATTGAATGAATAAGTGAATGACTAGGATTTAGACTAAGTCACACACAGCAACTTGGTGAGGCCGAGATTTAGTATATACTGAGTGACTAGACAGATGTTGGTGATATTACCTGGATAGGGGATTAAGAAGGACAAGTATGAAATAAAAGATGCTGAGGTCACTTTTGAATATGAGAGTTTGAGGTACTTGGGGAGCATCCAAGTAGAGGTATCAACATGAGCTATTCAGTTTTGTTTTGTTTTTTTAATCCTCATTCGAGGATATTTTTCCATTTTTTGTACAGACAGAATGGGAGGGAGAGAGAGGAACAGAGAGAGAGGGAAACATCGATGTGAAAGGGACACATCGAGTGGCTGCCACCCGCACGACCAACCAGGGCCGGGGACAAACTGCAACCGAGGTACATGCCCTTAGCGGGAACCGAACCCAGGTCTCTCCGGACCGCAGGCGGACGCTCTAACCGCTGAGCCAAACCGGCCAGGGCTGAGCTATTCAGTTTATTCAGCCTAGACTCATACAGCACTTCAACTCCTCTCTCTCTCTCTCTCTCTCTCTCTCTTTTTAAATAAATATTTTATTATTTATTTTTAATGAAATTTAATGGGGTGACATTTGTTAATAAGATTATGTAGGTTTCAAATGTACATTTCTATGATACATCATCTGCATCTTTTAAAAGGCTTTCGCTCATTTTACTTTCAAGCACTGGGGATGTTTCCTGCAAGTCACATGGGAAATCTTGTTAAAATGCAGACTCAGAAGGGAGGGCTTGAGCCTTTCCAAGTGATGCACCACCATATTTTGAGTAGGAAGGCATTGCGAATCAGTGAAAATGGCCCTAAGAGCTGGTGAGCAGTTTATTTTTTCTTTTTCAAAAATTTCACAATCGCTATAAGGAGAGACTGGGGAAATTGCAAAATTCTGTTTGCTTTTAAAACAAATTTCTTCTCATAAACTTTCTTTTTGCACTTTAAAGGATGTTTAGGTTTTTTTTTTTTTTATGTTAGCTTTGAAATATAATATGGCTTTTAATTCATAATTTAATTAAAGATTAACTCTTAATTTTAATAATAGTCCTATAAACTATTTATTCTTTCAAAGTGTGTGTGTGTTTTGTTTTTTTGGCTTTTAGCCTTAGGTTAAAGACTTTAGGCTACGTGTAGCAGCTGTTAGAAATAATGCAGTAGAGCCCTGGCCGGTTTGGCTCAGCGGTTAGAGCATAGGCCTGCGGTCCAGAGAGACCAAGGTTCAGTTCCCGCTAAGGGCGCGTACCTCGGTTGCAGTTTGTCCCCGGAGGTACAAGAGAGAACAGCTAAGTGAGAATGCCATATGTAAAGAATAAGCTTGGTGTGCTGAAAGACATCAAGATCAGTGAGAACAATGGCACAAGGGAGGGGAAGGTGGGAGGAGATGGAAATTGAAATAAGTAGCAGCCAGATCAGTCAGATTTAAGACCAAAAGCAGGGAGTCTGACCTTTATTCTAATTGTCATAGCAAATATTTATGGTTTCAAACAGAAAATTACATGATCTTATTTATTCTCTCCTAGGAAGTTCTCCTACATTTTCAGATTAAGAAATTCATGGTTCTCTTTCAAGGCTCAGCTCAAATGCCAATACTCATTGTAAAGTCTTCCTTAACTTTCCCAATACTTTTTCTCTTTAATGTTTCCATTTGTACATTCCACTACCACAGTACATGCTTCTACTATAATATATTTCCATAATGAGGTATTTATCACTTGTTTCCAACTTGTCTTTTCTACTAAACTGTTACTTCCTGTATGCGTAGCTCTTAGTGCAGTACATAGTAACATCAGTAAGTAAATGATTACTGAAGGAACAGATGGGTATTTGAATTGTTCCCAACTCTATGCTTCTGGTCTTAACCTTTCTATCAAAGTCCATTCTTCATATTTTCAAATGCCTATTAGGCACTGTCAACTGACCATCCAGTTTTCCCTCAAACTCAACATCACAAACTCATTATCTCATTCCAACTTCTTCATATGTATTGCAATACCAACATCTTTCTAGTTTCCTTGGTTAGAAAATTTAGAATACTATGATTCTTCTGATGTTGGGGATTTATTTCACTGTCTCTAGCTCTGGTTCAGATTTTCATCACTTAATTTTTGGAAAAATGCAACAGAATTATGGCTGGCTGGAGGGTCATTTTGACTCAAATTTCTTCTCTTCTCAAATTCATACTGCATATCTCTGCAAGAACATTGTCACTGAAGTATCACTTTATTCATAAGTTCATGCATTATTTTACTTATAAAGTATTTTTACACACTTATGTGTGTCATGTCATTCTGTTGTATGAAATTTTAATGTTCACATTAACTAAATGGGATAGTATTTTTAACTCCATTTTACAGATAAGGAAGAGATTTAGGTATCTTAGGCTACCTGCCCAAGGTCACAGTTACATCAACAAGGAAACGGTAGAGCTGAGATTTGAACACAGTCCTATTAGCTGGGGACACTGAGCTCTGCTTAATCATTGCCTTAGTGAGTAGTATCTCAAGTTTAAATTCCTGCTTCTTTTTATAGGACTTTTTTTTATGGCCCATGGATCTTACTTAACTTTCTATTATTATCAAACCTGCATTTTCTACTCCACATTTCAATGATCTTTCTAGTTATCTCCTCTGCATTGACCTTTTTCTTCAACTGGATTGTAAGCTCCCTAAAACCTCTCTTGTCTTGAATCCCTGTGGTTTACTACTATGGAGGGCACAATAAATTCTCATTGAATACAGTGGGCCCTCTGTATTTGCAGGTTGTGCATTCAAAGATTCAACAGACCCAGGATGGAAAATATTTTTTAAAATGTTATATAGTTGCTGACATGTACTACATAGTTAGGCTTATGATGGTTGTGTGAGTACTGAACATGTGCAAAGTTTTTTGTTTTTTTTCTTGTCATTATTCCCTAAATGATAAGTAAATGGTAACAATTATTATTACTACTGGAGGGTCCGATGCATCAAATTGAAGTTCCAATATGAAACCATAAAATTCTGATTCCTACCACAAACCTATGAACTTTTTACTTGTTTTCCTTATGATCTAGAGTAATAGTTTTCCAATCTAAATTAGTACACCCGAGTCCCTTCCCACCCTTTTTATGAAGCAGTGTCAACTACAAGACGGACATCAAGAAGCCGCATCATTTTGTCCACCATTACTGCTCTCTTTGATTCGAGGCTACCTTGGAGGAAAACAAAAAAAAAGAATAGTTGTAATTTTTCTGGAGATGAGTGGTCAACACGCACGAGATTTAAGCATCAATTTATCTTAATTTTAGTGAAGTTTACTAAAAGTGTTCAAGAGTTCCTGGCTCGAGTTTCTTAAATATAGAGCCTCGCTCAATCACATCTTTGCTTCCAATAAAGTTGCCCCAGATCCGGTGACAGGACAGTCAGTCTAGCCATCTGACCCTGCGCTCGCAGCGCGCACTGTTCCAACATTGCAGCGAAAAGGGATGTGTCAAGACGCCCGAGCTCCTTTCCAAAGGTCCTGCTACCCGCCCCGCCCCCGCGAGCGCGGCGCGTCACGTTACGTCATACGCTCTCCCGGAAGTGCCGCTGAGTACACGGTGGGGGCGTGTCTCCAGGTAACTCCGCACGCAGTTACCGGAGAAACGCGGGAAGTGGGGCCCAGACTTCGTTCTGTCCGCCGCTAAGGTTGTTTCAGGTCCAGAGCGAGCAGGTAGCCTGTCCAAGGCGAAGCCCGTTTGCCTGCCCGGGTCGCGACGCCATGGAGGTAGTGGAGGCCGCCGCCGCTCAGCTGGAGACTCTGAAATTCAGCGGCATCGGCTCCGGGGTTGGCCAAGGGGTTGGCCAAGGTGAGGCGGTGGTGTCACCGGACTCCGTCTGTGCCCCAGAGCCCCCGCCACCACCACCGTCGGATGAAGGGTCCCCAGACACCGGGCAGGACGCGGAGGCTCAGCCGCCTGAACTCGCGTCGAGCACGGCCGTCGGCGGGAACTCCGCGCCGCAGCTGGGGCCAGAACCGCCACCTGGAGGGACCTGCGGCGCCAGCCCGGGCGCTGCAGAGCTGGTGCGGACCCCAGCCTCCGTGGAGACCTCGGACTCGGATTCGGATTCGGACAGGTCGTGCCTGCGGGTCCCGAAACTGCTGGGAGAGGGCCTGTTAACCCGCGGGAGGAGCCGGGCCTGGGGACCCAGACAGTGCCCACGTGGGCCGGGGAGGGAGGGGCGGTCCCCGAGCTCGCTGCGCACGTGTGGACGAGTGTCTGGGACCGCCCACTTCTGGTTGGTCACGACTGATCCCGCTGTGATTCAGAGCCTCATGATCACATCTCTGTTCCCTAACATTGGCAGTCTGAAAGGTGCTATCGTAGCATTTTCAGTTAAACTATAGAAAGCATTATTTTGATAATACTTAGTTCGGCGTGTTTCCTTGTGATGATAATAACTTTTGAGTTTTTGTCAGATCTAACTTTTCTTCCATCAGCTTTAGCGTGTGTTCTTGTTTTTGAACCAGATGTATTAAGGATTGGTGAAAGGATTTTATGTATTTCCAAATAAGCTCCTGGCAGTTTTGTTAATTCTTATAGCCTTGTGGGGTGCATGTGTTCGTGAAATTAACAAGACATTGCTATTTAGTATTCTGATTAGGTTTTGTAAGTCTCCTCCTCCCCTGCCCCTCCCCATGTCGTTTAAATATGAAGCTTCTGTGGTGGGAGAGGACTTATGTAGGATATTCTTTACCGTCACTGAACATTGTTTATAACTATTTGAGTGTGTTGTGTGGGATACTGAACACAGGTGAAAATGTAGACATGATCCCTGCCCCACATTTTAGTGAGAAGGATGAAAAATATAAGTAAATATATCAATAAATAAATAGTGTTGGTGAAAATTACCATAAAGGAACAAGCAAGGCACTGAGAAAGGACAGCTGTAGGACACTGTGACCATGCTGTTGAAGGATTTTGAGGAGAGAAATGGCATGCTCAGGTTAACATTCTAATAAGCTTTGCTCTGTGGAGGAAGAATTGAACTAGGTTCTGGAAATAGCCCAAGAGTCCATCAGTAGATGAGTGGATTAAAAAGCTGTGGTACATTTACACAATGTAATACTATGCAGCTATAAAAAAGAAAGATCTTGTACCCTTTGAGACAGCATGGATGGACCAGAAGAGTCTTATGCTAAGTGAAATAAGCCAGTTAGTGGAAGATAAGTATCACATGATCTCACTTATTTGTGGAATAGAATGAACAGAAAAAAAAAAAAACACTGTTGAACAAAATTGATCCAGAGACATGGAAGTAGGGAACAGATTGAAGAACCTCAGAAGGAAGAGGGGTGGGGGAGTCTGAAAAGATAAACTAAAGAACTTATTTGCATATATGTATAACCAATAGAGACTAAAATTAGTGTCATGAAGACAGGGTGGGGGCAGGAGCAGGGAGGAGGGGGTCAATGGGGGTAAAAAAGGAGGGATATCTGTAATACTTTGAACAATAAAGATTTTAAAAAACGAGTAAAAGCAGAAAAGCAAGAGTAGAAATAATTGAAGGATATCCTATGAGTCCATGATGTGACTGTGGTTGGGTCTGGATTAAATATTTTGAAGACCCACTGAAGATAGGATTTTTGTCATTGACTGAGAATGCAGTAGCTCAAAATGATCCCAAGGTCTCTACCTATAGCGACAGAATTAAAGTCTAAGCAATGAATAAAATAGAAGCTCAAAGAGAGAAGTGATGCAGTAAGGACAATGCGCTTTCTTTTTTTTTAAAACTTGTTGCTAGTATGAGATAAGTGTTGTAGGTCATTCATACAGAGGTGGCCATTATGTAGCCAGAGATTAGGGATGGAGTTTATAGATACTAGTGCTGAAGATTTAGGAGTTATCTGCACATGGATGATGATTGGAAACATTGGAGTGCATGAGGTTATCCATAGGAAGAGTATAGAAAGAAGAGAATGAGGATGGGATTTTTTAGAAACTGTACATGAAAGGGAGTGAAGAGGATAGCCAGCAAAAAAAATTTAAAGTCAGAGGAGGGTTACTGGTAACAAGAATTGCTGTGGAAGTCAAGGGCTAAAGTAATTTTCAGGGAATAGAATAGTCAACATGGTTGGTAACTTTGGAGTTTTCAAGTTGTCCTAAGACTGAGAAGAAACTATTGGCAATTAAGTGCCCAGAGCTCTCTTCTGTCAGTGATTTGTCACATGCTTAATTATATTAAGACAGATATGTGATATGTGAGACTATTGTAATAAGTGAGTTGCAGTAATAGCCGGGGTTTTGACAAATGTTCAGTGGAATAAAGGCTACTTTCCAAATACCACAGTCAACTTCAAAATGCTAGCTTTTGAATTATATCAGCAACAGTAAACTTGTAGTAAAGTAGATATTTCCTAGTTGTATAAATATGTTAACACCATCATGCTACTGTCTTACTAAATTTTTAACTTTTTCTTTTCTACAGTGAAACAGATTCAGATAGTTCAAGTTCTTCTTCCTCATCATCTTCCTCTTCCTCTTCCACTCCAATATTACTTCCTCCAGTGCTATCAGATGGAGATGACGATTTACAAGTTGAGAAGGAAAATAAGAATTTTCCTCTTATTAAAACAAAAGATGAATTACTTCTTAATGTAAGTACTTAGATTTGTTACTAAGCCTAATTTGGATATTCTAAAATATATTGTGGTACTAATATTGATCTCATTTGCCCTATATCTGATCCTCTGATCCATAAATCTGAAGACTTCTCAGTTTTGGGAGGCATACTTTTACCATGCCTTACTTTTCTTAAGTAAAAGAGAGGATTGTTCGGAGGGTTTATCTGGATAATTAATAAGGTTGCTTCTAACTCTAACATTTGATAATTGTTTTTCCTGAGGTGTCAACTTTATCTTGCTATTTTTCATCTTCCCTAAAAGATACTATGTAGATTTACAACCTAACTCCCCCCCTTTTTTTTTGTCCATAAGTCAGAACATTTTGCTCAATTGCAATTAAAATCATTCTTTTAATTGATTTATGCTAAGAAACATAGAAATTGAAATTAAATAGTTAAACTTATTAGGATTTCTATTGGAGTTTTGGGAGTGTTTTTGTTACGATAGTTGGAGAAAATTTGTTTATTATAGACTGGTATTTATTGACACTTAATAGGTTTGGTTTGTAGGTTAGCTTTTGTGTGGTTATTCCCTCATAAACTGAGCTCGCCAGAGGAGGAGACTGGTAATCTGGTTGAAACCTCATGAGTCAAGAGAAAAGTCTCTCTTTCTCTCTTTTTTTTTCTTTTATATCACAACAGAATTTTAGAGTATTGGCTACATTGCCACTTATTTATTCTCTCTATTCTCACATGTAGTTTGTTGTTATTAGTGCATTTTTAGGGCTTAATGATCACTAATTATACTTATTATTTAAAACTTAAATGAGTGACAGTTTAATGCAAAATTTGAAAAAAAAAATTGAAAAGCCTACAGGCAGTTAGACACCTTTTCATGACTGACTTCTACCAATGTTATTTCTTTTTATCTATTCATAATAAGAAATTCCCTTTCCCTAATGTTTATGTTTAAAACCCTTGGGTTTTTATGCAGCTTCATTAGTGGTTCATGTTTTCATCCTACAGACATTGATATCACTTAGTGGTCTTTCTACACAAAGGCCCTCCCAAATTATGACTATTTTCTGAAAGTTGGGAGACTTCTTTCATCTTTTCCCTGTATCTTGCTTTTCTATCGACCTAACTTTTCTCTTAGGGTACAAAGATCAACAAATAAAGGACCACAGTACTTTTGTATATGTATGTATATTGTCTTAATTTTCTTATTAGATCTATAATTCTTACCTTGGGGCCCTCTTGAAATTTAACACAAAATCTTAGTCTATTTGTTTATTATTTTTCTGCATAGAGTGCCCATATTTTCATCAGAAAGTAAAAAAGGGTTCATGGCCACAGAGAGGCCAGGAACCATGTTCTTTGATGGACTAAGTTCAAATGTAATCTTTATAGCTTCCACAGTGCCTCGTAGAGTGCTATTCAGATAATAGGTTCTCAGTCACTGGTAATAGAATGAATAATTGAGTGGATAGGTATCTTTCATTTATTCTTTTTTGTTGTTTTTTAATTTTTTTTATTTAATTTATTTTTGTTACAGATGTTTCCCCTTTCCCCCCACTGATTCCCCCCTCCTCCTCCCTCCCCGCCCTGTCCCCAGCTTTGTTGTCCATGTCCATTGTTCGTGCATACATGCATATAAGTTCTGTGGTTTATCTCTCCCCCACCACCCCTTCTTCTGGGGATTGTCAGTCTGTATCCCACTTCCAGGTCTCTAGGACTACCCCATTCCTCAGACTGTTATGTTCATTATATTCACAAATAAGTGAGATCATATGATACTTGTCTTTCTCTGTTTGGCTTGTTTCGCTTAGGATAATACTTTCCAGGTCCCTCCATGTCGTCTCAAAGGAAAAGAGATCTTTCTTTCTTACAGCTGCATAGTACTCTATTGTGTATATGTACCACACTTTTTTTATCCATTCGTCTACTGATGGACATTTGGGGTGTTTCCAGATCTTAGCTATTGTAAATAGTGCTGCTACAAACATGGGAGTACATATATTCTTTCTGATTGGTGTTTCAGGCTTCTTAGGATATATTCCTAGAAATGGAATCACTGGGTCAAATGGCAGTTCAATTTTTAATTTTTTGAGGTAACACCATATTGTTTTCCATAGTGGCTGCACCAGTCTGCATTCCCACCAGCACTGTACTAGTGTCCCCTTTTCTCCACACCCTCGCCAACACTTGTAGTTTGATGATTTGTTGATGGTGGCCATTCTGACAAGTGTGAGGTGATACCTCATTGTTGTTTTAATTTGCATCTCTCTGATGATTAGTGATGTTGAACATTTCTTCATATGTCTCTTAGCCATTTGTATGTCCTGTTGGAGAGGTGTCTATTTAGTTCCTCTGCCCATTTTTTATTTGGGTTCTTTGTCTTCTTTTTGTTGAGTTGTATGAGCACTCTCTATATATTGGAAATTAACCCCTTATCTGATGTATCATTGGCAATTATGCTCACCCATACAGTGGGTAGCTTTTCCATTTTGATAATTGTATCTTTTGCTGTGCAGAAGCTTTTAAGTTTGATGTAGTCCCATGTGTTCATTTTCTCCTTTGTTTCTGTTGCCTTAGGTGATGTATCAGTGACAGTTCTGTTGTGTATGATGTCTGAAATTTTGTTGCCTACATTTTCTTCCAGGATTTTTATGGATTCATGAGTCACATTTAAGTCTTTTATCCATTTTGAGTTTATTCTTGTGTATGGTGTATCTTTCATTCTTAAACTATTATGGCACACCTGCCATATGCTAGGTGCTGCAATTAAGACCCATCCTGTTTCTGCTTTAATAGTGTCTAGTGGAGAGAAACAGACAATAAATAAAGAAGAGACAAATAAATTTAATTACCAGAACTACTATTGACTTGTGTGAGTATATGTTTGGCTCATATCAGAAAATTACATTTTTTGTGGGAATGTATGTTAGCTTTTAATTCTTGGAACAGTGGGTTGTCCTTTCCTTTTTTTTTCCAGTACTGAGGGATCTTTGGGAAGGATGGAAGAGGCAGTTACAGTCTTTATTTTTCAATTCTGTATTCTTTTTTTTTTTTTTTTTTTTTACATCACAACATGCTTCTAAAGACACTTTGCATCGTGCTCACATTCCTTTAAATGTCGTTCCCAAAGGTGCTCAGCCTGTAGCCCAACCAGAATCTTTGGGGAGAGACAGTTTGGCTAAAAGACATGGGTCATGGGTGGGAGGCAGTGAACAGAGAAAGCAGCCTTCCACTTTAAGATCAGCCCTCAGTTTAAAAAAGTCAGCTTCCTGCAGGAGTCAGGGTCAGAGGGAGGAGTAATTCTGTATTCTTGACTAGCTGTTCACTTTATATTTACACAATTAAGTGAACTTAATAGTTCTTGGTTCTTTATAGCACTCTATTGCTAGAGATAGGTAGAGGAATAACTTCCCTGGCCTGCCCTAAATTATTTGATTTATGGTTCTGAAAGAGTGTATTAGGAATTCTCAAGTTCAAGAGAAGACAAAGGCTTAGTCCTTATTACCAAGGATGGTTTAGCTACAGGTATCCAGTATCTTTAACACTGTTTTTTCTTTTGCTCAGTAGATGTTTTTCTGTGGGGCTGCCAGTTTGGCCACTGATTCTCTTTTATGAAAGTCATGGGAAGGACTTTTACTGGTTTACCTGGGGCCTGGTACACAGCCCCGAACAAATTATTGAGGCTAGTGGAATGGGTATTCAGATTGCTTGGGCATGACTCATATAGTCACTCCCGTTAGTGTGGGAGAGTATGCAGGAGAGTGTGTGCTTGAGAGAAGGCACATGGGCGAGTGTGGGGGTGGAAGTGTGTAACAGCAGTTGACAGAAAGAGTGTGAATGTGTATATTTTGAGGAGAGTAGGGGTTGAGTGGGTGGTATCAACCCCATGCAGACCACAGGAATGGGCTCTCTGTCACAGGAAAGGTAGGCTTACATCCATTTCAGAATGGGATGCTGTCAGTCAATAATCTTCTATAGAGGAAAAAGGGAAACACTTGGAAGAAGTTATAACATATGACTTAGGTTGCAGTGTTGTGGGTATGAATAACAGAGACTCAAATTACTTCAAGAGAGAGGGTATTTGCTTTAAACTTGCGTAGGAAAGCCATTAAGAATTTGGGCTGCTGTGGACAGTGGCCATGCTGTTTCTTTCTATGCCTCTTGAGCATTCTCATAGTTCTCGGAATGTTGTTTAATTTAATTCTTTTACATGGATTTCTGTGTCCTTGAGTCTAAATATAGTATCTTCTACTTTCAGTTCCCCATGAACTGGCTAATTACATTTATATTTCTTTGTTCACTTTTGGGATAATACTATATTACTTACCTTACATCTGTTCTGTTTTGTTTTGTTTCCAGAAAATGACAATTTACTCTTCCTAGGAAGTATTCCCTCTTTTGTTATAACTCTAGCTGGTTGTTGGATGTGCTGTTTTGTTCAGGTCTCCTGGTATAGGAGACACCAGCTAGAGTTAGTGGTAACAAAATATATTTTCTGAAGAAAATTAATGAAATTTTTATGCATATTGTCTTTGCTTAAAGGTATACATAAATTAAAATGGGCCAAACAGCACTGGCTGGTTTGGCTTAGCTGTAGTGCATCGGCCCTCAGACCAAAGAGTTTCGGGGTTTGATTCCGGTCAAGGGCACATACTTTGGTTGCAGATCCGTCCGGCCCTGATCGGAGGTTGTGCAGGAGGCAACCAGTTGATGTGTCTCTTACGTCGATATTTCTCTCCCATTCTCCCCCCCCCCCCCCATTTGAAGATAAAATGGAAAAATGTATTCTTGGGTGAGGATTTAAAAAAATAATGAAATAATATGGGCCAAGCAGTTAAAACCATTTTAGAGTTTGTGTTGGACCTTTAGAGATCTCTAGAACAAAGACATGTCCAATTTTAACTCCCACCTTTTTATAAAGTGTCTCATTCTAGGCCGGTGTCTATTCTTCGGCATGCTGAGTTTAATTTTTACCTACATTTAGTCTGTTTCTCAGGCAGGAATATTACCTCCTTG